AGGGTTTGCCGTATATGGGAGTTTCCCAAAATTAGGGGTACCTTGTTTGGGGGTCCTTATAATAAGGATCCTACTGTTTGGGCTACTATATTAGGGTCCCCGATTTTGAGAAACTCCCATTTAAGGTTAAGGGAGTTGGGGTCGTTGCTCTCTTGCCAGGTCTCGCGCCAAGAGGAGGTCGTGGCACAAAAAGAGAATTCCTTTGCAGCGTGGCTGCAAGCAACCCCACAACCATTTCGGGTTTAGAGCAGTTGGTTTGTTGTGCCACTAGCTAGACGCCAAGGTTAACTCATCGTTCAACGCAGCCTCCAACCTTCCGCTATGTCGCTGTTTACAAGGTGCGAAGTGTGCCCAAACTCCAAAGACTTGCACTGTGACTTCAACCCATTGGCATGACCGTGCTCACACCAGACCTACAAGCCTAAACTGCATGATAGAGTAAAACACCCCAATTAAGCTGCCCTCCCGTAACTAAGACTACCTACCTACCCACTATTAAGAACCACATGGGCTCTGCTGGGGGCACCTTGAGCTGCACTGGGCCGGTGTGTAGTGTTTCTAGAAAGGAAATTGATTTTTTGGCTTTGAGGTAAACCCTGAAACCTAACCCTAAACCCTTAAACCCTTAAACCCGAAATGCTAACCCCTGAAACCCTAAAGACCCTTAGGGGGAAGGGGGGCAGGGGGCCTTAATACCTAAAGTAAGGACTTACTAAGGCCTATTTAAGGAAGTATAGTACCCCCCTCCCCCCCGACCCCCGAAGGGTCCCTATGATAAACCTAAACGCTCAGAAGCACCTTAACTTCCAGCTCAGGCGCCCCGCGCGGCGGCCACGTCCTGCCGTCAGCGGCGGTTTCTGAAAGCAAAGGCTGCCAGTTTGGGATTCATGTAGGGTTCCAGACGGTCTAGGATGCCCAGTAGTACCCTTAATCCCTTTTTGTAGTCCTAGGTTCCTTATAAATAAAGTTACCCGATACCAAAAAGAGAGGCCGTTTTTTTTCTTAGGTTACTGGGTATCCTAGAGGTTTAGGGGCTTTGGGTTTAGTGTTTCGGCTTTGGGTTCAGAGTGCTGGCTTTTGGGTCGGCTTCTAGATTTATAGGTATTTGCGGCTGTTGGGTTCTGCAAGGGTTGCTGTAAGGGCTTCGGGTTCCTATAACGGGTTCCTATGACCCTGACTGCGGGGATTTCGACAAGGGTTTGGGGTTTGGGGTTCGTTCAATGGATCTATAAGCGGGCTTTAATGCTTCCTTTCATGGATCTATGAAGGGTTTGGGGTTCAGGGTTGGGAGTTTCTGGATTCTTTCCTACAGCCCCATGCAGCGGTCCATGTACCACGGTTGATGATATACATCCTGCATGACCTTAAGGACCCTAGACTACGGGAATTGTGGTGTATTCCTTATTATGGGTCATGCAGGATTTCCATCATCAACCGTAGTAGCTAGGTAACCATACTTAAAGTTAGTTATAGGCCCGAATATGTGTAGTTGTAACCTTACTTACTAAGCCCCATGAACCCCAAAGCCCGACACCTGCATAGATCTCTTTTACAATCTTTTCAGGCACCCTATTCTGGAGCCCTCTAGTGCCCTTACAAGGAACCCTAAACCTTGCTTACTACGTCCCATGCTCCTCCAACCAAAACTATAGATCCCTCATCTAGTACCCGCTTAGTCTAGAACCCCCCTATAACCAATATTAGGTATGGTTACCTAGTTACTAAGTCCCATGATCCTTTACAGTAGAAGCCAGAAAGTTGGAACATCATAAACCTCACAACCTTACTGTAAAGTATAGGGAATCCCCGCACTAATCATCCTAAATCCATGTTGTAACTTTCTGGAGTTCACGTCACATAAGGGTCAAAGTACCCCGTGATGGGCTTCTCGAGCGCACGACTGGGCATGTTTATTCTTTGTCATAGTGGGGTAACATTTTACCTGTTTATGGGTACTTAAACCCAATAAGGATAAGCATGTAAATAGTTTTTCCCGTCCCAACCATGAACTAGTATTATTATTTTGTTTAGCTTGCTTGCTCTGGGGGGCCTGCATAACAAGTGCTGCTGCGTTCATGCTCCAGTTTTCTTAGTTCCCCAATACCTAACCTGTAAACATTTTCGGTTCTTATACAGTAAAAGCCAGAAAGTTGGAACATGATTATCCTAAACCCTTCTATGGTAAATTATAGGGTATCCTACCCTGAAACCATATTCCAACTTTCTGGAGTTCCCTTTAGTGCAGTAGGAACCGGAAAGTTCAACCGTTTCATGTCTGTGGCTTCTTGGGGTAGTAAGTTTTGTCTTGTGACCGACGCTACGCCCCTAACTGAAGGACCGAATGACCCTTAAAAGTCGGGGGCCTTATACCCATGTGGGAGTTTCCGAAAATAGGGGACCCTGATATGGTACCCTAAATAGTAGGCTCCTTTTTTTTAAGGCCCCAAGATAAGGTACCCCTAATTATGCTTTGAATCCCTATATGGTAGTTTCCAAAAATGAGGGGTACCTTATTTTGGGGTCCTTATAATCAGGATCCTACTATTTTAGGGTACTATATTAGGGTCCCCTAATTTCGGAAACTCCCATATGGTATATGAACGGTAAGCCCCTTTAGGGTTGATTTCGTCCTTAAGGTATGGCAGGTTCCACAGGCTCGAGTCTTGCGGTCTTTCCGGGACAGCAGAAAGCCCCGAGCCCCAAACTGCAAAGGGGGATTGAGGGCTTAGGGTTTAGGGTTCATAAGGGTTTAGGGATTTAGGGATTACAGGGTTTAGGGCTTAGGGCTTCGGGTTTAGGGCTTAGGGTTTAGGGTTCATAAGGGTTTAGGGATTTAGGGATTACAGGGTTTAGGGCTTAGGGCTTCGGGTTTAGGGCTTAGGGTTTAGGGCTTTGGGTTTAGGGCTTACCGGGACCCCCCAAGTGCCCGTTAGAGGGCTCTGGTACTTCTCATTAAGAGGTAATTTGGGACTACTATGAAGGGTACTTGGGGGGTCTAAGAAACCTACCTTTTTTAAGGTTCCTGAATATTAGATTCCCTTGTATAGGTTCAAGTCCTTAAAGATGTAGGTTATTTGGGGTTGAGGTAGGGCTTTGGGTTTTGGGCTTAGGGCTTAGGGTTCATTTAGGCTAGGACCTAGAGTAGGCCCTTATTCCCTTTTTTAGGGATCAGGTTCCCTTATAACCCCCTTTAAACCAAAAAGGGCAACCTTTTTATTCCTAGGCTACTCTTGGGTCTAGTAGGGTTCCCCCAAAACAGTTGCCCTAAGGCCTACTCGTGGATACCTAAATTAAGTTTGCAGGGTTGGGCCCCATGAGCAGAGCCCCTGCGCGACCCTTCTGTTTAGGGTTTAGGGTTTAGGAACCCTAAACCGTGGTACATTTCTCAGAGGGTCCATATACACTACCATTACGGAATTAGGTCCCAGAAGACCATCCTCATTATGGTTTTGGGGACCTAATTCCATATTAATAGTAGTGTATATGGACCCTCTGGGTTTCGTGTAAAAGGTCACCGCCGTGAATGCCCACAGTCTGAGGAAATAAGATGATACGCATGCTACGCTAAGGATCCAAATGCCTATATGCCCTATAAGCGTCCTGACACTTTGAGGAACCTCAGAATGTAGGATTTCTGAGACCCCAAAGAGACCCAAGGACTCTTCCTAGGACATTCCGGACCCTCCGAAGGAGATACCTGCACCCTTAGGGTAATGACTAGGCCTCCAGGTCCCAAATACTATACTCTGAAATCGTCTTCTATAACACGTAAAAGCTTACTATTTGGGCAGTTGGTCTCTTAGGGTTGGCAAGGTGGGTGGAATAAGGAATCTTTAAACAAGTTGCGTAGGCGTAAACCCTAATCCCAGTATCCTAAACCCTAGACCCTAAAACCTTACATTATCCGTACTAAGTCCATTATCCTTTATAAGGGTCAGATCGAACGCCGGAAGGGTCCATGAGGGTCCATGCGCATTTCTAGCATATACTCAGGCCTTAAAGGGGGTCCCCCTCTACTTAAATGAATACATAAATATGTGTGTATATATATATACAGACAACACATGCATGTACAAAAACATATATATATATATATATATATATATATTATATATATATATATATTATATATATATATATATATATATGCATATATATATATATAAATATATATATATTTGCATATATATATAATGTTATACTCGTGTGCATATATATATATATATATATATACATATGTTTATGTATGTTTATATATATATATATATGTATACATATACCCAGGAGATCCAAAGTGCGCAAATGCCGCAAACATTCGTGGATGTGCATACTTTCGTAGCACTTGACCCTAATTACAGGCAACGTTGACAAAAACCCTGAACACTCCATTGTTCATTGAATATGGGTTTGGCGCACATAATAAACGTGCTTCAAAAGCATTCGATCCAGGAATCAAACGTTAAGAGCTTATTTCAAACTTGGGCCATCTTGAACCAAATTTAGGGTTTATATGGGTTTAAAGTGGGCATACCTGCTTCAAAAGCACACGGCACAGGCATGAAACCTTAATGCCTGTTCCAACTTCGAGCCATGTTTGAACCAAATTTAAGCTCATAAGGGTGTTACAGGGGCTTATAAGGTACCGCTCTAATTCGTTTAAGTAGCTAGGGTTTATACGGGTTAAAGCAGGCGGTCAGGCTTGAGGCAAATCTTGTCGGTCTCGCTAGTGTAAACCACCCCAGACTGAAAGCTTTACGGGTTTAAGGTTTGTGTAGGTCTTCGGTTTCAGGAATTGCATGTTCCAGAAGCAGCTGGGAATCGAACGAGTTCGAGGCTCGTAGGTTTTATAGGTGGCACCCCGGAATGACTAAAGCCTCGAAGGTTTTCTCACGCCACAGTGTTCGATCTCGAGACACGCAATCGCAAGGGCTTCAGAGCTTGCCAACAGCTCCTAGGCGTATGAGGAATCGCAGCAACAATCTGTATTCCATTCCTCGGCCTTAGAGATGGCACCGATTGAACTTATTATATTTCGTGTCAACCCCCCCCAAAAGGAAAAAACGTACAATCACGATCGAGTTGCTCCCAGATCCTTGGGCCAATTTTTTCCATTGCCCAATAAAGTCCTCGTCGCGAAAGCAGTGCGTCGCCCTCGGCGACTCCAACCACATCTCGCAGTCCTCCAGGATGTGTCGGAATGCCTCCGGGACGTTGGTTCATGATCATACGAGTTCCGAAGAAAACCAATCTGACCGGTACCTTTATAGAATACGAAATTAAAATCTCAAAACCAGGGGCTTGACGGTCTGCTTCGAATGGAACCTTGTTCGACATATCGATACGGTTGATAATATAAATCCTGCATTATAATATAATAAGGAATATACCATAATTTCCATACTTTAGGGTCCTTATGCAGGATTTATATCATCAACCGTATCTTACCGAAATTAGAATATACAGCAAAAAACACGGTGATAGGTTGTCGACTAGGGTCGTGAAATTTGGGGAGGACCTTCCACCTCAAAAGGTGGTGCTGGCTTGCGTAGTACACCAAATGCTCATGAACTTTCAGGAAGCGCATGCCGGCATCCATCATCTTGCCTGCTTGCTCCGGCGTAACCTTTCGCCTCGGACTGGTCTCCATGACATGAAACCAAGTAGCCAAGTGATGCACAACCAAGTATGCCATTTGCACTTCATCATCGGCAGATGCCTTCTTCTCGTGGGACAGGCACTCATGCATGTAAGCAAGCCAAATGCGGCCACTGTGTGCCTTCAAAGTGAGGCATGGGTAGTTTCCAACTGTCGAATCATGGAGGTGGCCCGGGAGCAGGAACGGGATGTTGTGCCTGAAGACACATGTAAATGTTAATGTAAGATCTTATAAATTACTATGATAGATTGGCAGGTTCCAGTTGAGTCGTAATTATGATAGTTGAAAAGCCTATGCCAGCATGACATGATGGCACTCGATGCGGTGGCGGGCAGCCCATTGCCGAAAGGCGACAGAGGCCGAATGTAGCGATGCTGTAAGTGACAGCTCTTTGCCCCAATAGCCTGATCGAATTTCGAATAGTACGATTCGGTTTGTTCGGATTCCGAGTATACGTAGATTTGGGATATTGCAAATAAGGCACATCGTTCACAAAGGAGTTGCAGAGCACTTCCGTTAACCACTTGAGCGACTCCCAGGTTGATGCAATGCATAGTACACCACTTTATTTGAGTGCTGGGGTTGAACCCAATAACAGTACATATCGGGTTGAGCTGCCGAGGCATCACATTCAGCAAGATATCGGTGTCTGTACGACGATCGAATCTGCAACACAAGTTGCGGCTCCAAGCAGTTGGCCCGCTGTTCTGTGCCCGACATATGTGGCACATGTACTTGACCTTCCAGTTCCAAAAAGCACTAAAGCCAAAGAATTCTTTCTGATATTTCCAGTCTCCACGATGCTCCAGCAAAATGCCAGGTCTTCCTGCCCCCGCGTATACCGTATGATCTCACTCTAGCGGATCTATAGCCTTAAAGTTAACCAGATCGAAATTCGAAAATCGAAAGCTCCCAAACGACGACCCTTGAATTTGGAGGCGCTGCACCTGGCATCTTCGTTCCTGCCACTTTCGCAGCTGCTCCGGCAAGGCGAACGCCGTCCAGGTTGAAGGTCGGGTAGACTCCGAAGTAGATGATCTGAGATTCGGCAAGGTTTGTTGCTGTTTGGGATCTGCCCTAATCCGGCTTTGCAACAACCAAAGCGCACTATACTCGAATAATTTTATTAAATTGATGAACAATAGGCTAGCATCGTTGAAAGACCAACTGAGGATTCTCATGATGGGATTCCATGTTCGTGCTCCAAGGCATATGAACTCACGCAAGGTCCAGACAGGGTAGCGAGCAATGTCACCTCCTGCAAATCTCTGGCGCCCTTTAGCTTACTTGGAGGGTCGGGGGACTTAGTAAGTAGGTAGTAAGTAGACTTATAAGTATACCCTAGAAGGGACCCTAATTGGGGTTATGGTACTTATACGTCCCTAAAATAACCACTTACTAAGTCCCCCGACCCTCCAAGTAATCCTACAGCCTGCATATATTGAACCTATCAGAGAAAAGCTAAAATTGCTATTTGCTGCTGCATCACGTCTGGGGGTGTCTAATATGCTGTTCATAGTAACCATCAGCAGTTTCGAGCCCGAGGTGTTGTATCTTGCATCGTCGCCGTACATGCCCAGCGGAACTGCCCGCTTGTCATACCCTGTCGGTATAGGCAGCTGGTTCGCCCTAGCCCGTGCAGCAAGATGCTCCCAGTAGTCCTCCAGTTCCGCAGGTGTCACACGGATCTTTCCGGAATCCTTGCAAGCATTAGCTGGGATATGGAGTTAGTTTCAGGGTTCGAAATTTTAGGGTGTATTAGGGTTGAGAGGGTTCCAGGGTTTATTGGTTTAAGGGTTTGTGGCTTTGAAGCTTTGAGCCTGCAGGGTTATCCTTCACTTGCGGTTTGGCTTGTTGTGTTATAACTTTTGAGGACAGTTTCAGGACCATTATAACATTTAAAACATTCGAACTTTAAGGGTGCACTTGTGTGTTTGGGTTTGTTTGGGCTCCGTAAGGTTTTCTAGATATAGGCAAAGTTGTCCTTAATTATATTCGACGACCAAGCGACCATCAAGTAGGCATACAGCTCGTGGGGCATGATAAACGGGGATCTCATTTCAGTCTCGGTTTTCCTGTCCGATTCAGATCGAACCGGGATCGTGCAATAGTGCAAGTCCTTGATTGTGGCAATTCGTCGATGAAGGCTCTATAGATATATCTAGGTACATATATGTAAAGTCCCCAAATACTGCTAGGAAGATTGGACAAAACACCACTGGCAGTTGCAGAGCACGGTTTATGTCGCGCGGGACATTGTTGGGATAGCGTCCACGGCAGCCAGCTGAAGCAAGTCGATGCGTTAAAGCACTAGCCGAGCCTCTTGACTCCACGATCATAGCGGCAGCACTCTGCTGCAGCTCCACTGCCGAAGCTGCCTGGTTGTGTGACACGTAGATAGCTGGGCACGGGATGTATGAACCCTAGCTGAGATAGACACCCTGAAAAGCCCAATGCAAACTAACGTTCATCTCAGAAACCACGACTCCGATAAAATAAATCCCTACTACATAGCTGATAACCTTAAGCTCGCCAACCTGACCCGGAAAGCAGCTTAACCTTTACTTCGAACAGCAAATCTTGAATCTCACCGTGTATAAGATAAAACAGCGTATATACTTAATATCAGTTATAAAGTTGAACTACATACAACATATCGTATGTAGTTTTTGGCAATGATTACAAATTTGTAATCATTGCCAAAAACTACATACGATCATTATACGAGTATGTGTATATATATAATAATGTTAATTTATCTATCGCCATTTTGTTGAGCGTGCACTCCAGTTCAGCCGAAGGCAGGTGGTTGGGTTGGCTAGCTAGCTTCGAAGTTCGAGTTCTCGATCCTATTATATATGCAACACCAGAAAGGTCTCCCAGAGCGATTCTGCAGCCGAAGCGGCACCCGTACCCAAGCTTTTGAGAAGGTGGTCAGCAAATGCAGCGTTGCCTGCGAGGGCGGCCGGTCTAGATAGCAGCTAGAGCTAGTGCACATGCAGACGGAACGTGACACTTGCAGCGTAGTTTTTTGCTCACAGTGCTCCTACAGCCCAGGCCGACATCAGGCACACACCACATCGTATCTAGCTGGTGCATATTCAATTTAGCACACTTAGGGTTAATGTCATATGACCTGATCGTGGCCACACGGGCTAGCACCCCACTTCAGAGTCTTGACGAACCAAAATCATGGGCTCTGTGCCCGATTGAAATTTGGGATCCAAGCACGTTCTGGATCCGAGGAAATCCTGGGTCCACAGCGACCTACGATCACTGCATCGAGGAGGCCTTTGCCTTGGCTTTTCCCTTGGCAGAGCTCTTAGGCTTTGGAGGTTGAAGATGCATCTTCACGTGCTTGTTGGCACTCTTGAAATTGCACAGTGCGTGGTTCAACTTCACCAGGGGTTCCTCGAGCTCCAAGCCTTCCATGCCCTTCGAAAAAGAGTCCTACAATCACAGGTCGAGCTTAGCGCAACATAACGGATCACAGGGTGGAGTTTATCGCAATGCAACAGATTACCAGCAGTCCTCCATTTCTTTCAAGTTCTCAGCGATGATGTCCGAGTGGCGGGTCATCGAGTCACACAAAGCGTTGATCAACTCGACATCCCTAGGTACAACAAGCGTGTGGTTTCGATGTACATGTTGAATGCTAGGTCTAGGTACAACAAGCATGCATTGCATGTATTCTGCAATCGAGGTACACCTTGTTTCGCAGGAGCTTCGGCTTGTAGCTTTTTATCTCGAGGAGCGAATCGTTGGCGACCTTTATGGCCTTCCCAGATCCAGTAAAATCCAGTACGTTTAAATGCACAAACCCGACTCTAAACCCCTATAGCTTGTAAGGCCTTAATATTCTGACCGTATATACACTCCCAATCTAACACATATACTTTTAGGTACTGGCGCCTGTTTGGCAAGTTGATCTGTTGTCTTGGCTTTGACTTCTTTGATCTCGTCACCTTTCGATTTCCCCTTGTTCTTGCCCTTTCCCTTTGCATTGCCCTTGCTTGGATCGGTTGTAGCAGCATCCATGACACCGCCGAAGCCATCAGTATCCCCCTCTCGCTCGTAAGTGAACGAACTCTCCCGGGTGTCCACGGTCCGGTCGGTGCTGCTTTCCCAGCAGCGATAGATCCGCTTGGCCTGCAGCGTAGCAGAATACTGGGGTTGAGTGGTTTAGGATTTAAAGGGTCACACACATATACATATATTAGTAGTTTCACACATACACACGATCAGGCATGTGTGGTGATTACCAGCAGACTAGGGTCGCGAAGATTATAAGCTTTAATACAATACATGCTGCATACATATGAACCTATACATGATAAAGATTAGACATATTCAGTATAGTATACCCCAGCAGGCCTTTACCCCTGGAAAGTCGGGGTTGTCGCAGTACTGGGTCGAGTCCTTCTCCTGACCAATTAAACGACACGACCCTAGAGCGAATTACCATTATCATTTACAGAACTGCGAGTGTCCTTCTCAAGAATCAGTGAAGCAGCATCCTCCGCCCCGTACTTCCTTTCGATCTCCTCCAGTAATGGCCAGGTTTGAAGGGTACCGGTGTAATCTTATTGGGAATTCAGTAATTCAGTGGTATATGGGTTCATGCCGTCGGAGAGTCAACAGAAATATTACTAGTAAGGTCTCGGGCCTAGGAGATTTCAGCTTGCGCACACTTGCTGGTCCTGTCTGTTGATCCAGACATAGACACCTTCGGCCTCGTACCGGCTGATGATTTTCTGCACGGCAATCACTCGCGAGCACCCCCAAGACTCATCCGACATGATGTATTCGCGAAACATCCTCTCGACCGCTCCCGAGTCTTGGTTTCACAGGGCCACACACTCGAGCTGTAAAGTGCATTAATATTCGGATGAGTGACGAACATGCCATATATGCATATCAAGAATCCTCGCGGTCCACCATTGTCCGTGGCCTTCTTCCACTGTTCGAGAACAACCGGCGGGCACTTCTTGCCTAAGTAATGTAAGATTTGGGGTTGTGGGGTTTCAAGTAAAATCAAACCAGCACCCCCAGCCCCCCGGCCCCCAGTGCAGTCAGGTGCTTTCGAAAGACCGCAAGAATCGCATCCGCGTCTTTCGGGCGGCTTCCTGCCAGCAAGCACGGGCTAACATTAATATTGTTTGGGGCATTCGGATCTACATAGATGCCTTCATCTGGTGCATGACATCTGCAAGAGCCGATAGCTCAGGATCATCTTCAACATCACTGGGGCCAGGGGTTGAGGGAGCACTGCTAGGTGGGTTCGAAGGAGTGGCTTGCGTAGCCTTCACAGGGACAGTGGAAGGTGGAGGCATCGACTGCTGGGGCTCGGTATTCGGCTTTTGCTCCAGTGCTTTCTCTGGGGCATCGACATCCATAGGACCTGAGGCTTCTGTGATCGGCTTCTGCTGCGGTGCTTGGTCCGAGGCTTCTGTGATCGGCTTCTGCTGCGGTGCTTGGTCCGAGGCTTCTGTGATCGGCTTCTGCTGCGGTGCTTGGTTCGAGGCTTCTGTGATCGGCTTCTGCTGCGGTGCTTTGTCCGAGGCTTCTGTGATCGGCTTCTGCTGCGGTGCTTGGTTCGAGGCTTCTGCCGGCTTGTTCTGCTGTGGTGCTTGGTTCGAGGCTTCTGTCGGCTTGGGCTTCTCAGGCTCTGCATTCGGGCGCATTCCAGGAGGGGACCTCGAGTCACAGCGATGGCTCTTGCCATACAGATCATCTAGATAGCTGTCCATGGCCTGAGTAGCCGGTACCGGTTTTGCTGCGAGCTCCTGAGTTTGTGTGCTGCCTTGCGAAGTTTCGGTACCGGTCTGTTGCTGTGCTTGGGCTTCCTGAAGCTTGGCAGTCTTGACTGCAGCAGCAATTGCCTCGAACTCGACAGTCCCGGGGCGTAGCAAAGCTTTCTGAATCTCACTGGGGCTTTGCCGAAGCACATCACACAGTGTCGTGAGTGCATGTGCTGCATCATCAGCAACAGACGATGGCTTCCCTGAGCCGAGGTTGCTGGAGTGCTGCGGGGCGCTGGCGGTCTTGGCCGGCTCGTCCTGGAGCTGGGCAGAACAAGAATATTAATATATTATATACCACCAACCTACCCGTCGTATATATGCATATATATATATATGCATATATACGACGGGTAGGTTGGTGGGTAGGTAGTTACGTAGGTCGGTAGTCGGTAGGTGGGTCTTCTTATTGTGGCCGGTCGAAATGATTAATATTAATAATGATCATTTAATCTAGTGTGCATGATATGCATAGGGAGTTTAGTGGGTAGGTAGAGAGAGAGAGAGAGAGAGAGAGTTCACATTTTTAGAGCGATTGAAAGGGACAGAGCGAGATCCTCGGAGCGACTCGCAAGGGAGAGAGGGCGAGATTTCAATAATAGACACAAGCAGAGGGAGGGAGGGAGAGAGAGTGGGAGAGAGACAGAGAGAGACACATATATAGACTAATGTCGGGTTTAAACCCTAAACCCTAAAACCCTAAACCCCTAAACCCCTAAACCCCTAAACCCCTAACCCCTAAACCCCTAAACCCCTAAACCCCTAAACCCCTAAACTCCTAAACCCCTAGGCCCTAAACCCTAAACCCCTAAACCCTAAACCCCTAAACCCCTAAACCCCTAAACCCTGAACCCTAAACCCCTAAGCCCTAAACCCCTAAACCCCTAAACCCTTAAATGGATTTGAGAGATCAGAATTTCGAAGGGTTGTGGGGTCAGGGTTGTTTAGCAGGATTGTCAGGATGTTGGTTTGCGGGTACGATTAGGAGTTTCTGCTATGATTTTCGCGACCAGTTGCACTTCAAAGTCGAACGGATAGATTTCAACTCCAGCTGATAGATTATCCCGAACCCGATTCCCCAGTCCTCCAAGCTAAGCTTCGCGAGATCGTGATCAATCTGTGCGTCCAAGTCCACTTGTGTGTCGGGACATGAGTCCATCGCATCATTGTGCATCTGCCTTGCCTGGGTACACGTACTGCTGGCAATACTATATAGCAGATTATCCACTATCGAATCAAGATGCTCGGGCGACAACATCCGGGGTCGGTATCTCGAGAGAGTCCACGCTGGAGCCTAAGCTAAAGTATATATGTTAGGGTTTTATAGGGTTGGGGGTTTGGGGTTTCGAATCTTTTAAGCCTTGCAATCCCCTGAACCATCGGTCGCCGAAACAGGATCCCTCAGGCCCCCGGCCTCACATACCCCAAAACCCCGTATACCCTAAACCCTCGTCGAGCTCTCCTACCCTAGCCTACATCCTCAAACCCGATACCCACATGTACATGCAAACCCCACACACTCATAAGCCCCCACCCGG